TGGTTACACGGACTGGTCTAGCTGGGGAGAATGCAGTGTAACATGTGGAGGAGGAGTTCAGAAACGGACAAGAACGTGTACCAAACCTCCTCCATCTGGGGGTGGGCCAAATTGTATTGATCAAAACCTTGGACCAGCAGAGGAAGAACAAGAATGTAACAAGAAAGAATGCCGTAAGTGTCTTTTTTGAATAATGTTAAACGCGCAATGATATAATGGTAATCTTGAGGCCAGAAATTGTACTCGGAACTTAGAGCTACATGTAGACTAAAACCACAGAAAGCTTTTTGAATTCAGGTTGATAATCTGTTGTGTTTTCCTTAAGCCGTACCTGGTGGTTACACGGACTGGTCTAGCTGGGGAGAATGCAGTGTAACATGTGGAGGAGGAGTTCAGACACGGTCGAGAACCTGTACCAATCCTCCTCCATCTGGAGGTGGACTAACATGCATTGAGCAAAACCTGGGACCAGCAGAGGACGAAAAACAATGTAACACACAGGATTGCGGTATGTTTCATACAAAATGAAGTATATCATAGTATATTTCCTTCCTCGCCATCACTTTGTAATTCCTTGCTCGATACTCGTTGTAGTATGTTCGTGTACGTTTTCTTCTTTAAATAACTCAGCAAAGTATAGTCAGCAAAGATCATTCGCTGGTCTTAAACGGTCACAGTTTGGATCCAAAAAAAGCACCCAATATTTTTAATTTGTCATGTTTTAAAAGGGATTTTCCGGGCCATAGTTACAGCATATATATATGTTATTTGCCGGCTGGGAAGTCCGTATAGTGAAAAACTGTGACCGAGGTCTTCAAAAAGGCTGAGGCCGCAGGCCGAGGGCAGCATTTTCAAGCCCGATGTCACAGTTTTTCACTATACGGACTGACCCTAACTCAGATACTAGACAAAGAAAGATGTATTAAAGAACAGATTTATTTCGAACTACTTTATGTTAGTTGCATTTAGTTCACTAGTTAAGTTCTCCAAAACTGTTTTTCCGGAGTGAAGTTTCGCGCAAAGTTTCAAGTTGTACGACAAAAACAATTTCTATCAGTCGTTGCGAATCACTCGAAATCTGACTTTCCTACAGTAAATTGAGTAGCAGAAAGTAAGGAAATCCGTCAAGTGCATTCCACAGAAATTCTCTTAAATACAGAAACGATCAGAGAGGTCAACTCGACTGCAATTGACTTTTTTTTACGTAAATTGTGCGGCGAGAGAAACACAGGATTACGCGCCATTACAGCGCCGAGGTACAAGCAACCAAACAAACTCTCACAACTTCTGAAAATACTCAAATGAATTTACTTATAGTGACTTTCCTTGCCATTTAAAACTGAATAGAGATAAACTTGTGTGGATTAATCGTCGATGGAAGTGTAAAAAGGGTAAAGGTTGACCATTATGGCTAGTTCACTCACGAAAATTGACCAACACGACAATTTCACCCACGCTGTTTCCCGCCGTTACCGTGACCATGGTCAGAGATAGGAAAATCCGGATTGCACTAAGAACCAATCGGATTGCAGGATTGGTTACCGTGCCCTCTTGGGAAAAACTAAATGATTCGCTTCTGTACGTTTACGTTCTTCGCTGAATTTTTATATGCAGATGCAAATAACTAACTGCCAGAGAATTTGCGCCATCCTTTGCATCTTTTTCTTGTCGGTTTGTTAATCGCCTGCAGGTGAAGATGGAAACTGGTCTCCCTGGGGTAACCCAGGTCCTTGTGATAAGACCTGTGGAGGAGGTACACGTAAGAGAAAAAGAACGTGCACCAACCCACCCCCCTCTGGAGATGGCGAAGACTGCAAAGGAAGTGATACAAAATGGGAGTCTTGCAACCCACAGCCGTGTAAGCACCGTAACACTTGAATTAATAGCTACATCTGAAGTTTGTGTTATCCTCAGTGGAAAGTTATATATGGTTTTATGATTGTTTTCGAAACTCAAACTAAGCCCTTAGTTGATTGTTTATGTATTCGTTTCCATTCTCTTTTCCTCCAATCTTATCTTCCTTTCACAAATCTTTTAATTTTACTGCTGGTCGCTTCTTTGAAGGTCCAACTCCGGAGCCTCCGCCGCCAAAACCTTGCAAGGAANTCCAGCAAACAAATGCTCATCTCCTGGTCGTTTTGAACGCCTGGACGAGTCAAATGCTCATGAAATTCACGTTCAAGTTGGCCATAGTACTAATTCGAACATTCGAAGTCAACTCCACTTCAATTTAGCGAAACACCTAACATTAATGGTCGTGTAAAAGCTACAAAATCATCAATTCGGGCTGGCATGATGCATGCTTTGAGCAGTAACCGCGCAAACACGATAGCGAGGCTCGCGCTGACTGCACGGTTACTATTCCAACATGGTGTCGGGCTCGGACGCTCTTGTTCGGGCCGACTAATTACGAACAGTGTCTACACCTAAGTGAGTGAGTGACACATTTGCATATCGGAGTCCCCGCAAGAAACACGTTTCTACGCTTCGCGTAGCCACGAGTTTAAAAAAGGACAAGAAAATGAAATTTGCAATTAAGTCAAGGCTGATAAAGTATTAAAACGGTATTAAGTAATATATCAAACACAAAAGACCGTGTTTGACCACATTTCCAAACACCTAAAAGAGAGCTGAAAATGCCACGGGTAGCGGAGTATTTTAAGCGGACGTCGAGGTGTTTGTAAAATGTATTCAGGCGCTGTTTTTCGTTCGGTTGATGTTCAATAGATGGTCTGAATTTGGGAAAAGGAAATTCTTGTTACAAAGTCTTGAAGTGCTTATTTACAACTTGAATGTCGTGCCTTCCAAGAATTCTTGATAATGGTTGCGTGAAACCATTGATGAAGGGAAGGACAGCAAAACTGTTAGGTTTCTCTTGAGGCGCAGCCCATTTAAAAAACATGCCGACCAATTCTTCAGGTGTGGGGATGGCGTGTGTGGCTGGTTTGGAAAATTTCCGCTTTAAGATGTTGGAAATAACATAGGAGGGATAGTTGTTGGCTCGTAGAGTATCAGTGACATGGTTGATTTCGGTAGTTTTCCTTTGCGATGTACTGGGGAGTTTAATTGCGCAGTGTAAGAGGTGGTTGATTAATTCAGTTACTGAATAAGTTTGAGAAGTTATTGTTAATCTTCTTTGTTGCAGATTTACCGATACCCAATTGGTTGACGAAATTAAGCGCAAAGCTGCCGCTTTGCCGCACATTCAGGGTGGAACAAGGACAGATAGAGCCCTGGAACTAGCAACTGAAGATTTCTTTGGCTGGGAAGACAGTGGTGACAGACCAGATAAACCAAACGTGTTGATTGTGCTCACAGATGGTGACACAAATGAAGGAAGCAAGCCATTTAACCAAGTTATTCCTCCTTTGGATGTGAGTAATTATTAACAAACTGTTTCTCTCAATCGTTGTTGGATCCAAATTGTTGTTTCAAAGTAACATTCTAAAATCTCAAAATCCATGACAGTCGATAAAACAACGATAAATGAGTACCACAAAATCCCCTCAGAAAGGGTAAGAATATTTTTATGTAATATATCAAAAACGAGAGACCGCCTTTTACCACATTTGCAAACGCTGTAGGACGTATTTTTAACGAGTTTTTGAGGTGCTTGTAAATGTGGTGGCACTACATCGAGTGTTTGATATATTTTCTTACTCGAGGCTACGACTGAACAGAAAACGGGAAAGGAAAATCGTAAAAAGCTATAGCTATGATAATAAAGATCGACTATCTAAACATTGTAAAGTTTTAAGTGACTTCCTTTGTTCAAGCTCTTTGAATTGTGTTTTAAAAGCAGTATTCCAAAATTTCGTGCTCTAAATTTTACAGTTCAGGGGTCCAAATGAAAAAAATGGCTAAATGAATAAGTATGTGATTGCTGATGAAATACGAATAACAAGGCATGAGATGACAGCATTAACATTTTTCGTTTCTTTATTGTAATTATAAAACAAATAGATTCCATGTTGCCGTGCGTCCGTTCAGTAATAAGAGAGTTTAAGCATGACGTTTACAGCAGATGGAAAACGGCAAAGATTACCTCTGTATTTGTGTTCTTTTTTTCTAATGCTTAACTAAATCACACAAAATAAGAAAATGTCTCCTACTATTCACCGCAAATACGAATATTTTCACTCTACTGTATAGACAGCTGAAGACAGATGGCAAAAGTTTCATTTTTGCCGTTTGTCGTTTGACGTAACGTCATGCGTAATCTCTCTATTGACTTCCGAAAACGTCAACCTGTGCCACTGTTTTGTTCTTACACAATTTTGACTTCATCTGTGATTTAATATTGACCAGGCACACGGCAACAAGGAAGCTATTTGTTAAATATACACTGCGTATTTTCTATATAGAAAGCAAGCGTCAGGAGAATCGCCATCGGCATTGGTACAGGGATTGATAGGAAAGAGCTGGAAGAAATCGCCAGCAACATCAAGGACGTTTTGCAAGTACACGAATATTGGCAATTATACAGCAAACTGGAGGAAATCATGAAAATGGCCTGTGAGGAGCAGTATCCTGGTAAGTTAGCCATAAGTGAAACTCGAGTACGAAACAGGGACATGATCCCTGATTGAAACCGTCTGATATCTCGGTACGTATGGCAAGAGAAATGGCCGATTCCTGGAATTGTCAGCTTCTGTTTTTTGACTGCCCATGGGTTCGAATTCTGATTTAATCTTTAAGAAAAAAATACACACATATACTACAACCTCTATCCACAATATGGTTTCGTGAAAGTGAAGAATGATCATCGCAGTAAATTTTCCAATTTAAGCAATTGGAAAGAGGAAGCCTGAAAAAATCAGGGCTTCAACGGGATTCGAACCCG